TAATTTTTTGCTCAACTTCATGTCATTCCAGACCTAAGGTGTAACTTTCAGACATGTCGTCCTACACCATTTAATTTTTTTTGTGAACTATCCTTTTAAAATGAATACGGATTTCTTTACTTTTTGATTTGTTGTTTACCTGTCAGTACATTTATTTTGAGAGATAATTGCTACTCTTTCTTGTCCCAATAAACTGCTTTATAACTATATTTTATCATCACTTTCTAACAGACTGAACCTAAACTAAAAAATATTGAGGATAATATGGATTTGACTCGTGCCAGAAAGTTACTGGATGAAATCAAGGCCTTTAAGGATAAGACGGAAATGAACAGAGCTCAGGGGAAAGAGGCCAAAGATGCTGCCAATGCAGCGCTCGACAGTGCCAAAGACGTAGAAAAGGTAAGTCTCACAAGCACAAGAGCAAATTTTGTATTTAAATAAGCAGTGTGTTGGATGTGCAAACATGGTTACTGTAATAGTAACTGAAAAGATGGTGCAGAGCTGCCTTTAGTTAGCATGTTTAACCTGTTCTAAGTGAATTGCTTTTCTGCATTGGTAGGATCTTGAGGAACTGAAAGAGCAGTTTGAAAAACTAAAACTGAATAGCACAAACCAGAATGTTAATGAAGAGGCTAACGAACGTCTGAAGAACATCACAATGGAGGCAGAAACACTAAAAATCTGGAAAATAAAATGAAGGAAATTGAAGGTACAGTTGAAAAGATGGTGCAGAGCTGCCTTTAGTTAGCATGTTTAACCTGTTCTAAGTGAATTGCTTTTCTGCATTGGTAGGATCTTGAGGAACTGAAAGAGCAGTTTGAAAAACTAAAACTGAATAGCACAAACCAGAATGTTAATGAAGAGGTTAACGAACGTCTGAAGAACATCACAATGGAGGCAGAAACACTAAAAATCTGGAATATAAAATGAAGGAAATTGAAGGTACAGTATCATAAGTAGCAGTGTGCATCTGGATTTAACAGTATTATGGATTTCTATAGGTGTTCATTTCTTGTTAGCAAAAAGCAAATTCGTCTTTATTCTTGTTGTTTCGGACTTGGAGGAAAGGATTCTGGTTGCAGCTGAAAGAAAAGAGGAAAGGAAAGATTTGGAGGCACTCCAGAAGGAGGCAGATGACTTGAGGAACTTTATTGTTGACAAAGTGGATAAATACAATCTGTGCTCCACTTAAGCCTGCAAGGGCTTCTCTTCCTCAAAATTAGAGGAAGCAGTTGTAGTGTTTGTGATGGAAGGATGCCGAAGGCAACGCAGGACAAAACTGCCTGGGACTAGGATTATAGGATAAGTGCAGTACTTTTATCCTGATCCTTTATGGGCTTGCTGACTTTTTGTTTACATATAGTGCTACAAACTAGTTCTCATCAAGCCCCAGAAATACTTATTGACCGTATTATGGTTCTGTTCAGTTTTTTTTTTTAATCTGTTTTTCTTAATAATTTTATTTATAGTATATTTTTTTGCAAATTATAAATCAATCTTATGTTTGAGAGTCTCATATAGGTAATGCAAAACCCTGACCGTCCACAAGAGGTCGCAAGAGTAAAATGTAAAACCATGCAGCATTGTTTCCTGCACTTGAATTTAGAGTGACACAGCAAAACAAATCAAATTTTACTCGAGTTATTTGCTGGATGAATTGAATAAGATGAGATAAAAAGAATGTGTGCTGCAAAACAATGACAACAAAACATATTTTTGTTGAGTTGTTCTCAATGATTCTTATGAGCCAGGTTTTCAAATGAATCATTCAAAAACTCACAAGTTTCGTTTGAATCAGACTTACAAAAATCAGAGATGCAACGTCAATTACTGTTTTATTCAATTCTGTTTAGGTCATTCCAAATTGGCTTATGTCTGAGCTATTTAGGCAAGTTTCCTCCAAAAGTATTTTGTTTTTGGTTCATGGATAAGTAAAACCTCTTGATTAAACACCTACTTCATCATTACTTCCAGAATGTGCTTCAAGATGAGACAGTCAGGTTCAGACGCCCACTGCTTGTGGAATGTGTTCGTTTGTCTCTCGCAGGAGGTGGAGGGTCTGTGCTTTTGTCCTGCGGTGTTAACAGCCTCTCCATTGAATTGCAAAACTAAAAGGTAAAGCCCACACCGATGTTATTTCTTTGGTCTGAGTTGATCTTACCCCTTTTTAACTACTTGTTGTTGACACACATTTTGTCGAGTTAATTTCATCTTCATTAGGTCAAGATAAACAGAAAAATTCATGAAACAGATAAAAATGAAGTTTAAAATGTTTTTAAAAAACTGCAGTAAGTTAAAGGGGTCATATGATGAGATTTCAATTTTTTCTTTCTCTTTGGAGTGTTACAAGCTCTTGGTGCATAAAGAAGATATGTAAAGTTGCAAAGACTAAAGTCGCAAATCCAAAGAGATATTCTTTATAAAAGTTAAGAGTCAACCACGCCTACCTAAAACGTCTCGTTCTAACACGCCCCCACATGTCTACGTCACGATGTGGGAAGATTTGCATAACGCCGCCCAAATGTTCACGCAAAGAAAGAAGGCATAACTTTTATTCTCGCCTATTGTAATGAGACTGGTATTAATAGATTCCTTGGGTCATGCTGAGAACAGCGATACCAATGTTGCCATAGTCAGCCAAACTTCCTGTCTGTCATTTTGATTTTCTTTAAAAACCTACTTTTTCTAACGCCACCTAGACCGTCGGTCCAATTTTCACCAATATCGAATCATATCATCTTCAGACCATGCTGACAAAAAGTTATGGATTTTGTATCAATAGACAAAACCGTTTTCGCAAACCACAGCAACAAATTTGAGGCATGATGCCAAAATGACGTTTGAGGCTTTATCTCTGCAATGCTTTGGCATATTGACACCAAACTTTGTGTGTGCCATTGTCAACTCAAACAGAACACACCACATCAATTTTATAACAGCACCACCTATTGGTCAAACGTGATAAGCCAATAAATCATATTACTAGAGGTTGTATTTATGATTTTTCAGCTATGTTAATTACAATCAGAGGCGGACAAAGTACTCAACTCCATTACTTGAGTGAAAGTACAGATACTGCTGGTCAAATATTACTCCATTACAAGTAAAAGTTGTAAAGACAGATTTTTACTTAAGTAAAAGTACAGAAGTACTTGCTTTTAAAAGTACCAAAAGTACTTAAGTACCAAATGTAAATTTCTTTTTTTTTTTAGGTCAGACAGTCTGCTGAATGATTAAACTGTCTTTCAGGTTGCAGAGGGATCTGCAGATATTAGTTGTGTCACCTCACCTAATCTCTTCCTGAAGTTTACAAAGAGAAAGCAAAGAAAAACGCCATGTGAGCCGGTTAAGTTGATGGGATGTAGGATGAATGACCTTAAAATGGAATCAAGTTAGGTTTCACTTTTTACACTGTGTGCTTTGGAGGACTTGCCTAACTTAATAATATAATATCCAACCACTTTTTATTGCCTTAATATACTGATAATCCAAATTTCTGGTTTAATTCCTAACATCTAAACTAACTAGTCATTATTACACTAATATATCTCAGCCAAGAGGACCACCAAATCCACATTAGTTCCACATGAACCTCCTGCTCTTTGACACACATTTAAACTGGCTAATTACTGAGGAATCCTCCCTTATTTAAGGCCATTTCACTGATCACAGGTCAGTTCATATAAGAATATCTGTTAACTTACTTAATTGTTAGGACGTTGTAATTGTGCGTGAGAAACTAGTTTACTATATAAAACGTTAATTATACCTTTAATAAAAACATGTTCAGTTGCAACGCAACCACAGGATTTTGTCTTTCTCTTAACATTAACAACAAGTACCACGAAGTAGCCTACATGGTTTTCTAGAAAATGTACCACTGTTGTCCCATTATTAGTACCATGGTGAATGAATATAGCAGTCCATGGTAGCATTTGATATAATAATCATTATTAAACATGGTATAACCACAATTAAGGTAAATTTAAAATAACTTAATCTGGCATTTCGTCGTTCGCAATATACAAATTGAAAGTCTTATTTGGGGCTAATATGGCTATATTACTAATTCGGAGCGACAGAATTCAATCTTTTCCTTAATTTTTAAAGCACAACCCCGAATAACTTAATCCCTCTCTATTTGATGAGGGTTAAATATCTTTGCTGAGTCTGAGGTACCGTTTCAAATCCCATCAAATGGCGCGTTTTCATCACTCTATGCAAATATCTGCTATCAATGTTATTCATTTGACGTACAGTCGACTTGAGTGTATTTAAACGTATACTTCAGCGCTCTTTTAATTACTTTTATCCGTTTTTGATCAGTGTTGCCAACTCATTTTCAGGGGAAGTTGCTAAAGGAAGGTTGATTTGTTGCTAAAAGTTGCTAAATGACGCGATGTCATTGCGCGGTGACGTCATTGTATTATTCACACGTTTTTTTACCTACATTTTAAATTACGCATTGTGTTTTGTGTTTTCGGGTTACAGGGTTACAATGGATAATGGATAAGGGATAACGGATAATGTCCTGGAAAATTACTACAGTTTTCTAGATATTTTTCTTACCGTGCACTAACTGATCAACAAACTCAAGTACAAGCTACTAACAAGGTGTATCATAAATGAACAATTATTCAATTATTATTATTATTATTAAATTAAACAATTGCTAATAGCAGCCAACTTAATTCATGTGAATTGTGTACTGCTAGGCACCTTTGGTTTCCTCTTTTTGTGTAATTTAGATGGAAAATGTGTGCCTTTTTTATCGTTTGAGTCACTTATCAAAAGTTGCTAAATGTTGCCAAATAAATTTTAAAAAATAGCTAAATTTGTTGCTAGGTGCTTTTGGAAGAAAAAGTTGCTAGGGTAGTCTGAAAAGTTGCTAAATCTAGCAACAAAATTGCTAAGTTGGCAACACTGTTTTTGACTGACCGTTGCTTGCCTCAAGACCACCTCCGTGGATGGGGGAGGGAGCTCGCCGGCCGAGTCGAAGCGTTGTGCGCATGCGCGGAAGATCAGCGGCGGAGGAGAAAAAGTTTCGCGTTCAGTCTGCGGGGATCAGACTCAGCGCTGCAGCCTCCGACCAAAATCTGGATTACTGCAGAAAGAATCCAGAAACATGCTCTTACAGCTTGCAGCCCTTTTAAGTAAGTTTCATTTTAGTTTTGCTGAGGCTCTTTATATAGAGATTTCAACTGCCACAAAGCATATCTTTTTGCAATTTGTTAATTTTAAGTTTATTCACTTAAACGTTCTAAAGAAAGTAAATATTAGAATTCATGTAATTTTACAAATTATATGTATTTTACACCTTTGCCTGTTCACTTGTGATTTATATTTGCTGTTGTCTTACACAACTTTTTTTTTTACATTTAAGGTTTAATTGATATACTTTACTAAATGCATCTTAATTTAGATAGCAAGCTGGTTGATGGTCCATTAAATATCTAAGTAAGTATATCTAAGTATGTATGTCAATTTAGCAGCCTCTTTTTAGCTTTCCTAAAACTGAAACTTAAAGGACCTTCAAAATATAAGCAAACAAAGTCTATATGGTATTACGTTTCACTTCTACTGATGCATATAAAAGTTTTTCTTCCGCAAAGCTTTAGGGGCATGGGCTCTGGCAGATGTACCTGAGCTGGGAGATGTTTGCACAGAGGGGAGCTGTTATCCTGCCACAGGAGATCTTCTCATTGGAAGAGCGCACCAACTCTCGGCCACCTCCACATGCGGACTCCAGAAACCTGAGCCCTTTTGTATCGTCAGTCATTTGCAGGTAACCTGTGTGCTGCAAATCAAAACCGTTATCCTTCATTGTTGAATAAATACAGATGTTTTACCATTTCAAAAGTGTCAAAAGTCTCAAAAACATTGATTTATTGACTTTGAATTAAAATTACAATGAGCTAACATCATTCCATAGTGGTGGAAATTATAAGGACTTTATTTTTCAGTTTGCATGAAGTTGCTAAGACAAGCATTAATTTTATGGTAACGTCATGTCATCAATTGATGTTCATCCGAAATGAAAACTGCACCCCTTGTGGGCTCTATACTTGGCCTTTTTTTTTTTTGGAACATGGATTTGTTTCCTGCAACCCTTGAATGTCTAGACTACTTCCTTCTAGACAAAATGCCTTAAAATGTTTTTCGTAGGGCCATTTAACATGTTATGTGGATCTTCTGAATCTTCAAAAATACAACCTTCAGGTTTATATAGGGGTTTGTTGATGCTACGGCTGAATGATAATCATGCCACACAATAATAGAGAGATAATTGCTTCCAAGTTTTGTCTCGAGACCAAGAATTGCCTTTACACCATTGTATCCGTTCCTTTGATCAGTTTATCTTCATCTCATTTAAAAGTAGGTGGTGTCATCAAAGACAAACCTTTGCAGTGCCCATATTGAGTTGGAGCTCATGGCAAGCAGACAGTCATTAAAATGGTGGTGATGATGTTATCTATCTCCCTCCCTCATGAGGTCAAATGGCAGTTATGAGGTGGACAGGAACTCATTTTTATGCACTATTCAAATTACAACACCATATATGTCCAAATTTTCAAGCTAATTGCCCTCAAAGGAGCCAAATGGCTTTAGTATGTTTTTAATTAAGAGAAAATGTCACAAAGCAGCTCTGAACATCTGGACAGCACATGAAGCCAATGCTTTCTGTAGGCCATCAGACTTTGAAAAAGCTGTGTCATAAAAATTAGACCAAGTGGGTTGACTTGCTTCAGTATCTCAGAGACCCTTACAGTCATTCATTTCATTTGGAGAAGTTCTTGCGTCACAAGAATGCCATTGACATTATCTGGTTTTTCCACCCCCTCCATCACAGGAAGAGAAGAAGTGCTTTGTGTGCGATTCCAGGGGAACCTCCGATGAGAGCATGCACCACATAACCAGCCACAGAATTGAAAATGTTGTGACTACGTTTGGCCCGAACCGCCTCAAGACTTGGTGGCAATCGGAAAATGGTGAGTTGTGTTGTGACTCCAAACAAAACAACTGCTCATCTTCCTTTCTTTTCAATACTATTGAGTACTATTTGCGGTGTTTTCTCAGTCTCGGATGTGAAAGACCGCACTAGTCATGTAGTTCTCATGGGAATGTAGGAAGACTGTGAAACAAGGTCTTATTAGAGGGAACTCTCTCTCATTAGTGTGTCTGTTAGTTCCCCTATAATCAGGCCAATGGAGCGACTAACTACTTCAAAGTAGTTGTGTAATTGCTGACCAGTTAAGGTGATGACCAGTCTTTAAAGTGTGGAATGACAGCTCTTTTTCCCTTGGGAACGAGTTTTCTACCTGCCATTGGAAGATTGTGCCATTTATCTCACGGTGTTTCAAACCAATTGAAAAAAAAAATCAATAATTTTGTCAAGTTTATTCTCATAATCTAATAATAAATTATACAAATATATATTAAAAATAATTTAAAACAATACAATTTTAATTTGATCATTTTCCTTAGAAAAAATACTTCACTGCATGCATCACTGCTTATTAATATTTATCAAAATCAAAGTCATGTGACTTAACCAGTATGCAGAAAAAACATAAAACAGGAAATATCAGGACTACAACAGAAGTCAGTACGTCTCTTAAAATATCAAATAATTTAATCTTTTTATGACAAGGTTAGTTCAGGTTGTAAAATGTCATGTGGTGCGACTCTGAAAATCTAAAGACATTTCTAAATGAATAATTTATTATAATTGTAAAAAAAAACACTTTTTACCTTTTTAAATATATTTTAAAACTTAAAGGGGTCATATGATGTTGCTAAAAATAAAATTATTTTGTGTATTTGGTGTAATGAAATGTGTTTATGCGGTTTAAGGTTTAAAAAACACATTATTTTCCACATACTGTACATTATTGTTTCTCCTCTATGCCCCGCCTTTCTGAAACGCGTTGATTTTTACAAAGCTCATCGGTCTGAAAAGCGAGGTGTGATCTGATTGGCCAGCTATCCAATGCAGGGCTGTACGTTAACTTTTTTTTCACATAGCACTGGTGCTACAGAGGTTGAAAGT